GTAGCTGCTGCGGAAGGGCCCTTTACCACTGTGTGCTTAATTACACGTCCCGCCGGACTGCGGGAAGCCTACAAAGTGCTCAGACATGAGTATAGAAAACTCCGCCTCTCTCTGGATTTTTGGTAGCCTATTTACCAACTCCCGATCGAGGCCTAAGTCTGACGGGACGCGTAATTTTGCACAAGGTGGTAAGTAGCCAGGTTATATGAATTTTCCAGACGTCTTGCGTACTATCTGTGGAACACGCTTGCCAAATAGGCATTTGGAATCGACTTAACCCTACCATCTCCGCAGGTAACTTAATATGTCTTTTATACAACTACGCAAGGGACCGACCTGAGATATGCAACGTCGGTCTTCTCGATAACTATACCCAAAAGTCCTACAAGCGAACGATTTAAATGAACAGCAAATCTCCTTGTTAGCATGTAAGATGAGACGCTTATACAACGGATCAATTGGTTAAACGGTGTGTAGTTTGTCAATCGAATTGACTTTTGTAAACATTCTTTGACTTCCGCCGCCAAAGGAAACATTGATGGATCTGGACATTTTAGTTTTCTGAATACAGCAATTCTTGGAAGGTTTTTATAGATATGAAAAGAGAGGAAAAAAACCCATCTCTTCGTAATTCGGAGGTTGATTCATCTTTGAATTTGTGTCACGCTTGTCATGCAACTAATATAATAATGTGGAGAAGATTTACAAACTGTAAATTAAATCTGGCTAAAATATGGTAGAGCATAACTTGATCACCGAAACAGATAATAAAATCATAAATAAATAAGATAAGAGGTTATGTTAGATTTCTTTACAAACTATAATGATTTATGCCAGTAAACGGTGGCGACAAGTAGACACACCATGTATACTTCATAGTCGCTAGCGAGTAAATTTTTCCACACTTTGAGTTCGTCTCACGATATAACAACACAAATGCACAAGGAAATTTTTACAGTAACTTTATAACCATCCTTTTGTCTTTTAAAAGCTAGAAGCTCAGTAGATTCTGTCATATCGGTCATTGTTAAAACTGTCTTTGTTTTGATGCTACTTTTCGACATAGAAAAAGTCGGACAAAAATATTCACCAAAAAATAAATATTTCTTTGCCAGCTTCAATAATGACAGGGGATTAATTAAGATGATAAAACAAAGGATTATGCCGACAGAAATACCGGAGGTCAAGAAAATCCGTTACATGAGGTCACACAACTCGGGTAATATGCAGGGTAAAAATTTGCATATTTGAGCGGCTGAACGAAAAATATCATTTCTC